TGAAAGTACACTAAAAAAATTTCTTAAACGTTTTTATTTATTTTTGAGAGAGAGAGAGAAAGACAGAGTATGAGCAGAGGAGGGGCAGAGAGGGAGACACAAATCCAAAGCAGGCTCCAGGCTCTGAGCTATCAGTGCAGAGCCCGACGCAGGGCTCGAACCCACGAACCACGAGATCGTGACCTGAAGGAAAGTTGGACACCTAACCGATGAATCACCCAGGTGCCCCTAAAAGTATATATTTGAAACATTTAGGGAAATATTGGGCATTTTTGGCCTAGGTATTTTTTTAATTTATTTTTTTTAATGTTTTATTTCTGAGAGAGAGAGAGACAGAGAGACAGAGTGAGCAGGGGAGGTCAGAGAGAGAGGGAAACACAGAATCTGAAGCAGGCTCCAGGCTCTGAGCTAGCTGTCAGCACAGAGCCCGACGTGGGGCTTGAACCCAAGAACCGAGAGATCATGACCTGAGCTGAGGTCGGACGCTTAACTGACTGAGCCACCCAGGCGCCCCTTGGCCTAGGTATTATAAAAGGACTCTTAAAAAATTCAACATACCTATGTGGGTAGCTTTTCTACTTAAGGAAAAAAAGTATAGTAACACCACCATTATATGTTTATTTTCAAAGTACAATAAACTTACAGAACTAGAGCTATTTCCTAGATAAGACAGACTGACATATACAGATAACTATCAGTGAACATTTCCTGAGCACCTAATACATGCCAGGTTGTGTACCAAGTGCTTTACGCCAAAGCCCGTTTCCTTCTCTGTCAGGCTGTTGCACCATGGCATGGTGGGAATTTCAGAACAGAAGTACCAACACGACTGTGTTTCTGAGGGGAAATGATTCAGTGTCATATAGTTAGAAGGAAACTTGGTAACGTGAGGAAAATTTTTTGTCATCCTGTCTTCCATCTCCAACCAGTCAGTCACACAAGTGATACTGGGGGGTGTAAACCAGGAGGATCTCTAGAACTGCAATATTACATGAAACTGAGGACAATCTTTTTTTTTTTTAATGTTTTATTAATTTTTGAGAGAGAGAGACCGCGTGAGCAGGGAAGGGTCAGAGAGAGAGGGAGATACAGAATCCAAAACAGGCTCCAGGCTCTGAGCTAGCTGTCAGCACAGAGCCTGACGCGGGGCTTGAACCCACAAACCGTGAGATCATGACCTGAGCTGAAGTCGGACGCTTAACCGACTGAGCCACCCAGGGCCCCGAGGACGATCTAATATTTGAAAATCCTGAAAGGAACTTTTAGTTACTGTGGCGCCAATGTCCTAAACATCAGGTATAACTATAATTGTATGTGGTTTACACAGAATGTTCCTTAATAAAGCACTGGAAAACAAAGTTTGCTATATTTGGCAGGACTGGGCTGGGCTGATGCTTTTTCCATCTTTCCCTGTCCTCACACAAGAATGGAAAAGAGCTCTCCTCCTGTAATGAGGACAGAGTTTCTGAGATGACCGTACAACTGCATGAACAGCAGGAGAAAACCAGCCCCTTTAATGCCCCAGGAAATATGCTGGGTGCTTAAGACACATGACCTCATTCAATCCTCACAAAGCTGTACCAGCTAGGCAGTATTCTCCCCAGTTTCATAAGAGAAAGGAGGCTTAGCCTGGAGTAACATCCCCAAGGTCACCCCGTTGGGCAGAGGGGGTTCGTGGCCCAGGCCTGAGACTGTAAAGCAGAAGTGCTACCCAGGGTACTGGGTTGCCTCCGAGGCAGGCAACACAGCATGGGGACCTGAGCTGTGACGGCACTCTTACCTGGGCATAGCATCTCTTCTGTAAAATAAGTAAGCTATGCCTGTCTACCCAGGAACAGGATTATGCTTTGTTTTTCAAAATGAGAGGTCAGCAGCATTCTTGGGGGGTTAGGGGTGGCGTTAGACAATGAATCAGTGGGAGGGGACGAGGACGGAAGCCAGGCCCGATGAGTATTAGATAGCCACCATTTACTGGGTGCTTAGTTTGTGGCAGCACATCACATATGCTAGTTTAGTCCTCACATCTGTCTTGTAAAGAAGGTGCCTTAATTAGCCTCCTTTTAGAAAGGACAAGACCAAATATAGCAGAGTGAAATCATTTGCTCAAGGTAACAAACGCCGTAAGTCAGAGAGCTCAGATTCGATCCCAGGACTATCTATCCCTGGAACCAGGGCCCTTATACATGAAAATGTAGTGCCCAGATCACACAATAGGTTCCGTGAAGGACTGGAAGAGCAACATAAAAGGCCTGAGCAAAGAACAGTTACAAATATTGCAGGAAATCTACTACAAAGCAGGCACATTCAAACACACAACACACCTGTTCTGCCCTTGTGCAAAGGCTACAAGCTGTGCAACAAGGCACTCTAGCTAAGTTCACCATTGCTCCTGGTGAGTATGTTTCTTAACAAAAAGTAGGTAATCAGAAATGTGTAGGGTATGGATTCTGAGAAAATAAGCCCAGACTCTGACCAGTAAGTGCACTAGGCAGCAAAAACTGAATGAAGCATACATGTAATAAGCTAGAAAAACGACTGTGATAACTTAGATCAAATGAGACCTCAAGAAGTCTATGCTCACTAGCGTAGCTTAAGGCAAGCAGTGTGTGACCAGGAGTACAGGCCTAGAAGCATAGTGGAATAGAGTGTGTTAACTCACAGTGCTCTGTAGACTGCAAATCCTATGTGGATTTAAAATATGTAAAAAAAGAGTCACAAGATTTGACAGTTGGAAAATAAGACCTATGAGAAAAAGCTGGTTATATTTACAGGGAAGGGGGATGTATGACATTTCTTCTAAGACATAAACACACAGGCCAAACTCAGTGACAAAGTGTGGTGTATACAAACCTAGAAAATAACACACTGAGACTTCCCTGTTCTAAGAGGAAAAGGGTTCTCATAGTGTCCTGCCCACTAGCAGGAAGATTTTAGGACAATTACAGCCAATCCTAGCAGTCTGTGAATATTTTAAGAACTAAAAGGGGAGCCTGGGTGGCTCAGTCAGTTGAACGTCCCATTTCGGCTCAGGTCATGATCTCATGGTTTGTGAGCTCAAGCCCCGCAAGGGGCTCTGTGCTGACAGCTCAGAGCCTGGAGCCTGCTTGGGATTCTGTGTCTCCCTCTCTCTCTGCCCCTCCCCCACTCACTCTGTCTCTCTCGAAAATAAACAAACATTAACAAAAGAAAAAAAAGAACATAAGAAAACATAAACCCCAGGACACCATAAACTATCAAGGTAAATCTTGAAGTTATAAGATTAATCTACTCAGGTAGATGTGAACCTCTCCTCTATAGACTCGGAACCAATCATTAATCTCCTTCCTAAACTTATCCTAATTGTATGCTTGAGTTTCCTTGTTCATATCCTTTCTATCATGACTATAGTCTAAGAGCCTCGCATCGCTCCTGGAACATAATTATCTGCTCAATAAATTGCTCTCAATGAATGAGAATGAAGAGTCTAACTCTAATTTTATTCTTGCCTGGAGCACATGAATTTGGCATGGTATGTCATTAAATTTAAAAATAAAGATACCCAAACTATAAAGGCAAAGCTTTCTCCTATCAGATGAACTAGCATCCTGTGTTCATCATGTTCTCCTAAATGCTTCCTAGTGCAAATCATAAATGATACACGCCAAATACCACCTATCACTCTCATATGTATTTTCTGGCATGGAGCTATTATTAATAATGGTTTATGGCCTTCATTGTACTCTGGGGAAACTAGGGATCCTAGTTTTAAAAGTGTTTAAAATAGGGGAGCCTCGGTGGCTCAGTTGGTTAAGCATCCGACTTCGGCTCAGGTAATGATCTCACGGTTCGTGGGTTTGAGCCTCACGTTGGGCTCTGTGCTGACAGCTAGCTCAGAGCCTGGAGCCTATCTTCAGATTCTGTGTCTCCCTCTCTCTCCGACCCTCCCCTGCTCATGCTGTCTCTCTCTCTCTCTCTCAGAAATAAATAAAACATTTTAAAAAAAGTGTTTGAAATAAAAACAGACACACTGAGGCAAGGCCAAACACCTTCCAGAGAGCTACAAGTCTTTGCAAATGGAAGAATGATTATAAACAAGTCTGCTGCTTAGCAAATTAGACACACGTTCCATATTAAAAACCATATATAGAGAGATGCACACTTATAGCGTCAAATAATGGCATTTTCAGGCATAGTCTGTCAGGTTTTCATTTAGCTACTAATACTATGACCCCCCCCCCCCGCCTTGTTTGTGTCATATCTATATAATGGCTGGGGAGACAACTTAAAATGTGAAATAGGTTTTGATAAGCAGTTAGAACAGTTCATGCTGTGGCCTAGCAGTCGGTCATGGTGACTATGGCAGCTTTGAGGAGGAATCCTGACACTCCATCATGGCTGCAAGTACAACAGACTGCACTGTGGCAGCTGGACAAACTTCTGCAGCAATGTCTGTACCGTTACCATCCATAAGCAACATGCAGCTCATTCGCAAGAGGCAAGCTTTTCTTCAAAAATGATTTCTACCTTTCTATTCGATCACCTGACAAGGCCTGTATTTCCTGAAAATATGTGTTAGAATTGGCTTCTGTGAAAAATCAAGTCACAAAATTATGTTAAATGGTAACTTAATTTTCAAACAGAGTCTTTTATAGGAAATTTTAAGTTTTAAGCTTCTTTTGCTGGAATATTGAGTACTCAAACCACCAAATTACTGTGCTATGACAATTTATACCCAAATGAAACTGAAAACATGAAACTGACACAAGTAGACGTCTTCCTATAGTCTAACTCGACAAAATGCCTATTGTCTCAAGACCCAAGCTTAAAGTTCATGTTCCTTAATGAACTAAACACTCTTGAACCCTGTAGTGAGTTTCTTTGCATATAATCTGTATTTAAACAAGTGTTATGAATCTTTAATTATTTCCCCTTTTTTCTTTACTATAAAATATTCTAACACAAGCATTAAAACTCTACGATCGTCACACTTACCTGTATGGTTTGTCAGAGTTCACACTTACCTGTATGGTTTGTCAGAGTTATGGATTCGTCGGTGGTTTCTGACACCAACGTAGGTTGTACTTGTATAATCGCACACATCACATCTATACTGTTTCTGTACTGAAGACTTATTCCCTAGACGAGGGATTGGAGAGCTTTAGTGACATACTTTGATTAGATACAAATGACATCATTTCCACTGTTAGCAAATATTTATACACATTGTATTAATGTTTCCAACAAGGCTTTCTGGTTGTTTCATACTTTCCAATTTTGAATATAGCTTTCACCTGCAATTGGACTATCAACAGATACAAAATGAACATCATCTAACCTGCAAACATAGATACACTGGGTTGGTTTCTGCATGACCTTGTACAAAATGCTACAATAGAATAAGCTTGATGCCAGCTGCCCTGCTGACTGTGTAGCAGCTGAATTAACCAGAGAAACACTGTTAATTTGAAAAGCGTTAGTCTAATTGACATCAGATAAACTGTCTTAAGGAAATACTGATTTGCCAACAAGCTGTGATTTACTATAATACAATATTATACAGTACGGTTACATAGCAAACATAAAAAACTCAATATAAAAAGACTAAAAGCTTGGGGCACCTGGGTGGCTCACTCAGTTAAGCCACCAACTCTTGATTTTGGCTCAGGTCACGATCTCATAGTTCGTGGGATCAAGCCCTATGTTGGGCTCAGCATGGAGTGTGGAGCCTGCTTGGGATTCTCTCTCTCTCCCTCTTTGTCTGGCTCTGCCCCACTTGCACTCTAAATAAATAAATAAGTAAATAAATAAATAAATGCCTAAAGCTTTTTCACCCTGTGGGTTTCCTTTGTTTATAAAAATGTTAGCCATCAGTGCATTGATGGAAGAAAAAACAACTGCAAATTATTAAGTGCTAAATAATAAAGTGTATGCCTAGCAAACTGACGTTACAAGGACAAATGTTATCACTAACATGAATCTGCAGCTCTCTAAAATTTGGAAAATATGGATCCGATGGAAAATAGGCCATGTCACCACACTTACTCTACAACAACAGGGCGGAGCAATTTAAATCAGGGTAAGCCTGAGACAATACAAGCTAAATGACTTGATCATGTAAAACTGTTCCTGAAGATATTCAATACTTTCTTTACTCTTCTGCAAGCACAAAGTCTGTGGGCCATTCACAGGCTGATGGCTTTACATTCAGAAACAAAGCAAGCATGGAAACCTGAAGAATAAGGCAGAGCAGCAAGGAAGCTTACGTAGAACACTATGCACAGTGCATAAACGTGAAATTGGTGGCACAAGAGAAACCCACACTGAAATTTTAAAACAAAGAAGAGCCTGAAGTTAAATTTAAGCTTTCTAAAATTGAATTTCTCTTGCCTATGACTACTTTTGCCAGGCAGAACAAAATGTCCTAATTTGCTGGTAGAAGTCTACAACATTAATATACACTCTAATCATAATTATAATGTAAGTATTGCTCTTAATTGCTAGGTTAAAAACTTGGACTTGGTTATAAGTGGCATTGTTCCAAATACAGTTTTTTTAAAAACCCTGAAAAAAATGAAGTGTGAAATATTGGATAATGGTTTTGTGTGAGAAATATTACAGATCAATGACAACTAATAAAAATGACAGATGGAAAAACTTAAAATAGCACAGAATGAGAGCCTGTGCTACTTCAAGAATCTGTTTCCAACGGAAAGAATATATGATTTGAAGTTCAACAATCTGGGCTTCGTCCTTGCTCTTCTACCTAGTACCAGGATGATGGTGGGCAAAGCATTTCACCTCCTTAGGACTCAGTTTTCTCATCTACAAAATGGAAATTCTAGAATCTCCCAGCATGGGTTATTGATGTGAGCCTAGGAGAACTCTAGTTTTCCTTCACCGCAGTCTGTATGTCACCGGCATGTCTGTGTCAGGCCTCTGACCTGTCCCTTGCTGTAGACTCCCTGAAGGCAGGGATCCGTGTGTTCTGTTCGTACTGAATCCCAGGGTTTCATGAATTGTACGTTTGCAAGAAAGAATGATTTTGTTAAATTTTCTCAAGGAACACCATATGAGAATGCTTTGTCCATGGCTCTAGCAGAGCATGTGTGGTGGCTGCTGACATACCCGTCATACGGTTCTGTCTTCCTCCTGGGCTGGGTTCCTTATGGGCAGTGATCCCTTCCCTGTACTCTGCTTCTAGCTTGGTACCCAGCTTGGGATGGACACTCCATGCCTTTTGGCAGAACAGATGTCTGAGGTACCATTACGCTGGGTCTCTGAGTCAAAAACATGTCCCAAGTCATCTGTGTCATCATAATGGGCAAAGGCTGGGGACCACTGAGGCACACTTCCACTGACTTGTCCAATGAGTTTACTAAATGGCTAAAAAGTCTACAGTAAAACACGCTGACCTACTTTGTGAGCGAAATGCTTGTTTTTTGGCTCGACAACCGGATTTCAAAAGTTCTAGTACTGAATTTGTGAAGTATCGGTGTAAGTATGCAGGAGGTTATCAGTCACCCGAACTGTTGTACGACTATGACAAAAAAAAGCAAATGCAGTGAAGTGAGGGAAAAACAGACGTGGCAAGCAATTTAAAATCCATACATTCAAGCACAAGAAACAGCAGGATGCACAAAGAAAAGATGTTGTAGAATGGAATATGGTGGACAGATGCTGTCGTTGTAAAGTCAAACTGGTTACTTTAATTTTGAGCTGACATTTTAATCTTTTTTATTAAAATTGTGGGTTTTAATTTGTTAACCATTTGGACAGTTTTATAAATTACTGCTTTTGAAGATGGTGCTAGAAAAGACATATTCTGCCACGAGTATTAACCGCAGGTGGTGCCACTGAGTAGTATTTACTTTATTCCTTCATTAGGGATTTATGGTCCAATGACATCAAATGTTTTAATGTCTCCTTTGAAGGGGATATGGAAACATAATGAATTAAAATAAAAGGAGGCATTTAGGGCCATTTTGTAAAAAGGAAACAAAACTGTTTTAGCTCAGCCATCTATTGCAGAAACAGATGCTATGTCATAAACTCCTTTTGTTTCGGATAGTTTTACAGGGATGACATCTGTTTGACAAGGGAATTTTGGTGCTACAGTGGTGTCAAAATCAGTTCTTTCAGAAACATTCTTGAATCAGTTATGCTTTCTGGGGTATAATTTAATGAAACATTATGGTAAAACATTTTCCTCTGCAGTTGTTTCTAACTTTAATTCTTAGGAAATCTAAAAAGAAAGTCACCCCAATATGTTTTATTTCCCATAATCACTATGTACCGCACTTGAGACATTTAAAGTATATCAATTGAAGAGAGCTGATGCAAGGCGGCACAGCTTTTTACACTTTATCCCTCATTCTCCGGATGTGGCATCCGCTTTTTCATGGGACTCTAATTAAATCTTTTGATTCTAATATTCCTATTAGCAGAAACTCAGCCGAATGGTACCTAACTAGTACATAAAAAGATCTTGTGTTTTTTTGCCCTTTTTTTTCCCCCCCTTAAATAATGCAGATGAAATCTGGCAGTCATACTTGGATAAGAATAAGATCACAGCAGGAAGCCTCACTGAAAGTTTGAGGTGGGGGCCTGCCATCTGCAAAAGCTGCTATATTCTCAGTGGGTCCACTGGTATGGAGAGTGGGGGGGGCTTGCTTTTCACACTGCAGCCTCCCTGGCCTGCTGGTATGTCACCCAAGGGTTCATGATGTACTTGGCTCTTAAAGGGCAGCATAAATTCCAACGTATTATCTACCTACACAGCTGAGTACTTACTAAGGTAGCATTTTGTTTAGCACTCAGAATTACCTCAGGAACACAGATAAGAGTCATTCACATCCACAGTATGAACACAGAGAACATGTGCGGCTTTAGCCCTGAAACTAACCCACATGACAACTAAGGGCTTAACTAAGCGCTTTTTAAGAAACTTAATATGCTAGTCAAAAAAATGCACAGATACCTTCTTGAACACATTTTCCATCAGCTGTATCACTGGAAATTCTTGACTCATTAGAAGCTGCTACTGCCAAGGTGTCTGGAAGACTGTGTTGCTCTCTCTCATGGTTCCTCAGCTGACTCTAAAAGATTGAGAAATAGTCACATGTAATTTTCAATAAATATACTTGCATTGTTACTAAGAGACTGTTGAAACAGTTCATTGCTTTCATGGCCTGGTACCTAGAACACATTACCAACAGTTTAAAATCAAATGTGCTAAAAGGTTATCTGACTTATTTGACAGCTTACGGAAAGAAATACACTAGAGAAATCACAAGCTCATCAAAAAAGGAAGTTCTTTTTGCATTCTCTGAAAGGAGGCACCCACTATCTTCAGAGTGGTTTCTGCATGGCATGCACGTGCCGATGCGAACGCTGGCAGGCCCGGAGGAGGCGAGGGCAGAGTGTTCGGAATAAGCCAATGCTTTCACAAAAATAAATGCAACCTGTAACTGCTGGACTCTCGCTAATTCTTGCCTTTCAATACCAACTAATGTGTCGATGGATATCTTCTTCCTCCACCACCAGCCCCACAAATCCAGAGTGCAGGAACAAAACAAACTTCTGGAACTTGCCTGTACAGCCCATTTTGGTGCACTGCTTGTCTAGCAGCCTGAGGCCACTTCAGAACTTCATGTGGGCAATCCAAGTAGGCCGGGACTCTCAGACTCAAAGACTGTTTTATCTCTGACTACCTTTTTACTACCAGCTAGGCCCCAACTCTGGGTAATCTTAGAGAAGTCTACAGCCCAGTTAGCCTTTGAGGACACTTTTTTTTTTTTTGAAGGGGGGGCCCCTCCAGACAGTGAACTGGCAACATTAGAGAAGAAAAGTTCTAAACTTTGGATCTAATGATTCAGTGAATCCTGTTTCCTTTAGGAAAACAGCATTTTATGCTGGTTGCTGGGTTTAAGGTAGTACATACGATGAAAATCACACTCAAAATGCTTCAAGCCCCTTAAAGTGCCACAAAACACGTGGCTCTATTTCCATTTTCCAGTCTTTCATGAAGTCCAACATTGCCTATTTTCCCTCTTGCAATATAGATCACTGTTGGTTGGCTGTGTAGCTGAAGTGAATGACCTGCATTTTGGGGACATGGAAGATGAAGTTTTTTTGCACTGATGATGTAGGATTACATTTGTATAAAACAACAGTCCTTCCACTGTACATTCTCTCGTAATTACCCTGCAATTTAAAATCAACACATTTAAAAAAAGATACAAACGTTAAAACACTAAAAGCAATAAACACAGACGCTGTTAAGGAGGCGGTAGACAGGGAAAACAATCCTACACCAGAAATTCTGATGACCTAGATTTCAGTCCCAATTTTAATACTAATGAGTTGGGATCCCCTGGGTAAACTACCAAACTTTCCTGGGCCTCGCCTCAGTTTCCTTAACTATAAAATGAGATGGTTGGACTCTGCCATGTTCCCTCCTTGTTCTAAATGGTCTAAGGTTCTCCAAATGGTTTCATGAACCAATGCTTACCTTATAATGAAAAGATTCTTCACATTGCTTGCACTGGTATATTCTTGTTTTACAGTGGTTGATCATGTGGTTCTCTAAATCTTTGCTATTGTCAGCTATGTGCTCACAGATAGGACACTGATAGGGCTGTCTCTGCCGATGGACTCGCAAGTGCTGCTTGATGTAGCCCTTGTTACCACTTGCATAGTGACACAGCCGGCAGCGGTAGGGTCGATCGGCATTAGGGATGTATTCCACCACACTGCTGCCCGATAAACTCGCGTCGCTGTTGGGTTGGCACTGGGCGTTGTCCTGCAACTCTTTCAAAATGTCATCGTCGGAAGCATTTTGGTCTGTCCTTTCCCTCAACTTTTCAATTACAGTCAGTAAGGACATGCTGATGCCTGTCTTCACTTGCCCATCTGACAATTCCTGCCTGCCCTCTGGGAGTGCGACCAACGTAGAGTTGCTTTGGTTAAAACTAGTTAGTCCATCTGAAGAGTTTTTAAGTGGTGACATCATTTTAGAATATGCTGCCAACGTACTGTCCACTTGCCTTTGTCCGGTATCTGGATCTAAAAGGTTTATATTCCCATAGTGCCCAAGGTTGGCCCTCGTCAGTTCTGCAGCTCTGATAGGCATCGTGACAAGAGCTTCAGCAGCTAATGAGTGTAGTCGGAGAGACTCAGAATTTGTCCTTCTTCGGCCTGGTGGGGCATTCTCATCAGTAGCCAGCCCTTTGTTTATTAACTCACTATCCTTCTTCTCTGGATTGCTCCAGCCTATAATCAGTCCCCCAATATCGACAGTACATTTATCAGCATGATAAACTTCATCTCTTCCTCCACCCCCAATCTGGGATTCGGTCGGGCTCAGGTTTTTCCCCTCTTCAATTTCAGCATTCATGAGGAAATGTTTCTGTGAAAGAGTTTCTTCAGCACTTGGCAAGCGCTCCACTATCACGTTAACATGACCTTTTTTATTTGGGCTACTACTAATGATCTTCTGTGCAGACGAAAGTAGGCTGTCAGCAATCAGATTCTCCTCCACATCGGATATCACCTCCAGCATTTCTTCCTCGTTAGGGTCAAGGGTAACTGACCGAGTTAGATGAACTCCACCTTCTGCACTGTGTTCTAAAGGAGATGAAGAGGATAGTGGTTCTGAGCTGCAAATCTGCACTTGCACTGAAGGCCCATTGTGGATACTCAGTTCATTGTCTCCAATAGCAATGACTACTGCATCCACCCCACCAGGTTCGGCAGCCACTGAAGAGTCCAGCAAGCCCAGGGGCTCGTTTTCATTTTCAAAGATTGGATAGGAGCAATCAACCTCCCCAGCATGTTTCCAAGCATGTGTTTTCAACATTCGCTGCTGGCCACAGGTGTAACTACAAAACAAGCATCGATACATGCCATACTGTTCGTATGCATACCATTTCCTCTTACCCATCTCTGTCACGGATGCGTTTTGGGTACTGTGAGTTTGCGGACTGTCCACACTCAGTGGGACATCAGAAATGATTTCGTTATTTCTCTCTGTGGGCCTCTGACTCAAAGAGTTGGAGGGGCTAACACACTGCTGGGCTTTGGATTGAGTGTGACTGTTGGCATCGTTTTCGTGGTCATTTACCACGTGAGCTTCAAGTTCCTCTTGGCTTTTAGATGTAATGTGGCACTCTGAGCACATTAATATCACTTCATTTTGCTGACCATGCTGCTTGATATGATCTTTTAGCACAGAAAACGATGATGACAGAAACTTGCAAAGGCTACACTGGTAAGACATAGTCTTCCCATCGTTCTGGGCAAGAGAGCCAGGGGTAAAATGTATCTGTGACATCTCAGCCCTTCTGATCTCTGCAGGTGACTGGGTTACTTTAGCTGGAATCTCACAAAGTTCTTGGGTTTCAAGAGAGTGCATTGCAGCACTTGAGCGTGAGCGTTTTTTCCCAATTAAAAGACATTTTTGTGACTTTTCATGTTCTACTATCTTGCTCAGCTTCTGGATAACATGGATCAATGGATCTGTTTTAACTTTTCTTTGTTCATCAATTTCCAATGATGAACTGATGACAGTTTCAGCAGTCAATATAGCTTCCTGTTCCCCAATATCTGGCACCAACATGGCAACACTGCTGCTTTCTTCCATATCTAGAAAGGATAATATACATCAGAAAGAAATAGCAGGTTATATGTCTTACAAGTATGTAATGATAGGAAATCTGAGCTAATCTTAGAGTTTAAGCTAATCTCAGTTACTTTCTAACCTGGGAGCTCCACATCAACATACCTGTATCCCCAGCAGAGCCTTAAATTGCTTACTACTTCTCTAGAGAATGCTATCAAAGGCTATCGAGCCTTTCCTATCAAGGGTGAGAATGATCTTTCCATCCATTTCCTTCTTTGGAAATGACTTTAACAATATGCATCTCCTTTTTTCTTCACTTTCTTTCCCCTAGACATCTAGCTGGACCCACTAATGCCCTCTTTTGTGCAATGCCAAAAACCAGGACTCCTATTCTTTGACTGAAGGACCACAAGCATTCCCAGGGCATACAGAACCACCTCAAGTTACCACAAAACCAACATACGACTGACACAATTCTTGGGCAACAACTTCTTGTATCAAATACAATTGTAGTCTTATTAGTAAAATCATAAATTTGTTTTTTTTCTCTCCAAATCTTTGGAATTATGAAAAGATAGTCCCATAACCTCTTGTAAATGGCAGAGTGAATTTCGAGAAGTACAATGCAAACGAAACTACACAAAAGCAATGATCCAGTTCCTTCTTTTACTTCCTTCAATTGATCTTCCTGAAGGTAAACCACAAACTACGCTGTGGTTTTTTCCTAGAGGCCATATTAGTGGTCAACTATTACTCACGCACGAATATACATATTTTCATTTTCCTGAAAGGGAGAGGGGCATCAGAGAAGGGAAAAAACCTGATATTCTAGTTGTGTTTCAGCTCTAAATATTCAGAGTCCTTAAAAGGGGTTCTCTGTAGTTCCAGCAATGCATTACAGCCAAAGAAGTCACAAAACAAAAACTACTCACAATATCTTTCCGCCTAAATCTTGAATCCTCTATTTCCTGGCAGTACTTTCATTTCAAACATTTCCTTTGGCTCAAAGTGAGATTAATTTGTTGACTTGGATCACATTTTTCAGTTTAGGCTTTTTTCCAGCAACAAGTTTTGTTTTTCCACATTTTAGGTGCATTCTGGAGTCTTACTCACAACATTCAATAAATGCCAGCAAAATTCTTAGTGGCACCAGCTATAGACCAAAGACCATACTATTCTTAAACCTCAATCACAGGCTCTGAATTCTTATTTTAGGAGGTGAATCATGGCTTCCCTCCCCCCAGGTGGCTGAATCAACATGGAAGGGCCCTTCAGCCCCTGCCAAGATCACACCGAACTCCCGCTAGCCCGTACCAGCACCCTGACCAGCTGCAGTGCCAGTCCTTGCGTTATCTACTCTTGGCAGCAGTTACAGCTTCTCCTCTTCTTTTCTGCTCTTTCTGGCACACAAACTTTCTATATCTAGGTCCACATCAGGCAAAAATGCAAACATTTTGCTCTCGGCTTTAGTAGTACTTCTTCCCTCCTCCTTGATACGCTGTCCCACGTGGTCAGCTTTCTTTTCTTTTCCATGTCCAACTGCACTTGTGGCAGAGAACGCACCCAACAGCCATCACAACAATGACCGCTACCCCAGCTCCCACAGACCAGTGGCCCTTTAGCCACTCTCTTCCCTAAACAACCCGAGGGAATTACCTCTCAAAAGACTACGTAGGTCCTTTCCATCTTTCTCAAGTAGGACAAACAGTATTTTTAAATCTCTACACTCAATCTTAAATCACTAAAGAGGGACCAGTGTGGGAACAACTTGTTTCTTTGGGAAAATGCTTTGTGATGTTGTAAGTCACCTTATTGCCTGAGAATTCCACATTTGTTAGGCCAAGGGGAGCTGTGGCTGTTTCTGTGACTACTGATTTCACGTTAGGGCCATTCACTTAAAGCTTTATTTCTTTCAGTTCAATTGTTAAATGGGAATTAGTTAAATTATTGTTAATGCCAGAAATCCTTGAACACTGAATTTCTTGCATGAGATTTGGTGGCCTACTGTAGATCTAAGGTCTCTTTCTCCACAAAATAGGACATCCATGTGGGCTGATTGATAGTCTGCAGGTTAAGGAGTGAATGTTTGCTCAACAGACTTTGCATACCCACAGGGTTACAAAGGTGACTCACATTATCCCCCTTCTACTTAATGACAAAATAGGAGAGAGCGCAGTGCAAGCTACTCCCTGTGGATATTTCAGCGTGTACCTGAAAAAGAAAGTGGAACGAAGAGGAGGAGGAGTTCAAGTTATATCAAGAAAAAGACTAATACAAAAGAAACTGACAAAACATTCCGATTTTAAAAGCTGTGTCTGCTCAGGCATTAAGAGCTAATGGAAATTTGCAGCAGATGCTCCAATTTTCCCTGAACATTTATGTAAGTATCTCATTTTAGAGGCTGCATACATTTGGGTATAAGTACAGAAATGGCAGCTATAAAACAGATATGACAACATAAAATACATCAGGAAACACCTGAAAAACCAGTTTGGATCCACATGGCAGAATTGACGTACGAGTTAAATCTCATTAAAACAAAAGTCTGTTAGAAAAGGTTAAACAGTTCATAATAAAGTATATGCACAGGGAGCAAGCCAGGCTGACCCTAAGACCAACTCTTTAAATTTTCAGAAAAATTTCACTTAGGCCACCAATGTGCATACATATGGGATCCTATGTCGACTAAAGTAAAATTTATTTAGGGAAAAAAAAAACAGGAGAGAAATGAAAGTAAGGAGTGCAAACACAACCCCAGTGGCTCAATAACGGTGACAACACAGATTAGGATCACCCGCACACTACCGATGGCCTTCATGAGATCAATACAAGTGCACAGTTAGGGGGTGGGTAGAGAGGGTAGGGATAAAGCAAGAATAGTAAATTTTATAATTAAGGTTGAGTGTTAAGTATTTAAGAGTTCCTTACACTATTCTTTCTACTTGTGTCATAGTTTACAACTTTTCAAAATAAAAAGTTACAGAAAAAATGGTTATGAGTTAGGGTGCGTGGTTGGCTCAGTCGGTTAAGCATCCAACTTCGGCTCAGGTTGTGATCTCACAGCCTATGTGTTCAAGCCCTGCCGTCAGGCTCGGTGCTGACAGCTCAGAGCCTGGAGCCTGCTTTGGATTCTGTGTCTCCGTCCCTCTCTCTGTGCCCCTTCCCTGCTTGTGCTCTGTCTCTCAAAAATAGATAAACATTTGAAAAAAATGGTTATGTGCATAGCACTAACCAAAATACACTATGGAAAAAAATTTTACATCACAGTACTAATGGTTTAAAATTGAACTGAAAGGATAGGACAAACATTTGGAAGTTAAAAAGAAGTAATAGCTTTTATATAATGTAACAACAGTACACAAGGTAAAACAGTTAGAAGACAATGGTCAATGACCAAATACTAACAAACTAAAGAGCTGCTTTTGGTCTAGGAAGGAAAGCAAAGGGTTTTTGAAGAGGTAAGATGTATACTGTATTCCTAAAGACAGCCGTGCTGGATGTCAACCATTTGTCCCTCTGGGCTCACTGCCTCCTCCTCTCCACTCTGCTCTCTGCCCCAGGAGGTATTACATCAGTAGGCTCCTCTGCACTCTGGTTTCTGGTTGCGTTATGCCAACAGGGAGCCATGCGAGGAGATCAGGAGGGGGCAGTACAGTGAAATCAGGATATTCATTTCCCTAATTCCCTCCCTCTGGGTCAGCTTGGACTGGCCATGTTTCTCAACGGAAGACCATTCTCTTCAGGCAGGGGGCTCTACAAAACTCTCCTGGTTCTGATCTGATACCTCTCTTCCTTCTGATGCTGCTGGCTCCAGATATGCATTATCCCTGTGGTTTGCCTATACAAGTCCAACACCTTTATTAGGAGTATCCTTGTAAATACGTCATCCTTGAATTATCCTAGTTAGAATGCATCATTTTCTCTTTTGGAATTCTGTTAACACAAGGGTAAGACTGATAAGGAAAACAGCCACAACTTTATCATGTTTTCCTAAGTGAGAATAAACCTTCTGTCTAGCAGTTAGTGAAAAGATCAACATGGCTGAACAGGAAGGTCTACAGAAAGAGTAAAGACTAGGGGCGCCTGGGTGGCTCAGTTGGTTAAGCGTCCGACTTCAGCTCAGGTCATAATCTCATGGTTCGTGGGTTCAAGCCCCGCATTGGGCTCTGTGCTGACAGCTGGCTCAGAGCCTGGAGCCTGCTTCGGATTCTGTGTCTCCTTTTCTCTCTGACCCTTCCCTTCTCACGCTGTCTCTCTCTCTCTCAGAAATAAATAAAAAACATTAAAAAATTAAAAAAAAAAAGAAAACATTAAAAAAAAGAGTAAAGACTAGATGCATCACCAAAGTAGGAATCTTCTTACTTGGAATCTTCAGACATAACCACATTAGACAAAATGTATCAAACTATTACAAATAAATAAATACAAGTTGTATCCCAAACCAGGAGAGTTCTATAATATTTCCCACTGAGTCTCAAATCTTTCCTAGATAACAGGACAGGTTTCTCTGGCCATCTGAAAGTAGAGCCCTCCTATAAAATCTTTCAGAAGCTTAAATGATGTAAAGTGAGGAAGGAATTAGCATTTATTTATGGGGAAAAAACCAAAAAGTAACCTTATGCTTTTCTGATATTTTAGAACACATCTTGCTAACGAAGGTACACAATAAAATGAGATAAAGCGCAGATGCTCACAGACACAGTTCAAAGCTCTGGCGTCTTGGAGTGGAGATTCCGAGTACGGTGCCTGGGCAGGAAAGGAGCTTGGTAGGGCCACTCTTGCTGCCTGGGTTACGTGCTGCCTCTATTAATGGCTCGCTGCAAAACAAACATTGAAAACTATTTTTGCCTTTTGTGTAAAAGTGAAATCTAAAGATTTCTTTTAGTTAGAGAAAATAGGTACTATTGTAGGTTTTTCATACAAGTGAAGTGGCAGGGGCTACCTGGGTGGTTCAGTTGGTTGAGCATCTGACTCTTGACTTTGGCTCAGGTCATGATCCCAGGGTTGTGGGATAGAGCCCTGCGTCAGGCTCCATGCTGAACATGGAGCCTGCTTAAGATTCTCTTTCTCTCTTCCCCATTTCCCCTCTCATGCTCTCTCTTTCTCAAAAANTCCATGCTGAACATGGAGCCTGCTTAAGATTCTCTTTCTCTCTTCCCCATTTCCCCTCTCATGCTCTCTCTTTCTCAAAAAAAAAAAAAAAAAAAAAAAAGCACAAAATGGCAGGAAGCAAACTGTCAAAAAGTGGCAGAGACCTGTATTTTAAAGGCAAAAGCTTATAATTAATGTCTTTTCCAAGAAAAGAACCAAATTATTTCAGTTGTCTTTATTTCCTTATAATTTACTACTAGGTTTCTTTGTACATCTAATTAGTTCCTTTCAGTTATAGAGTATGGTTATCATAAGTAAAATCAAGTTGAACAATTCATGTGGGCCTGAGTAGGACTGGAGAAAGGCTATAATTTTCTGTGCATGTGCAAAGGCAGTTCAATGTTACAAAGAACCTTTTCTTTCAGACTAAGAATTTGTTCTTTCCCAACTAGACAAAGATATGAACTTTCACGTCCCTGAATTGTAAACTGTTAACAAAGAAATCACCTCAAGATGATTATCTTACTAATGTCAGCTAGGATTCATTTGAATTAAAATCTCCTTAGCTTAATGTGATTAACTGCCACTAAGAAAAAAAAATAGTATAAATATCACAAGTACATGAATTTTATAATCTAAGATTTCTTAGCTGGCATCTAGCCTAGGAGAGTATTCTAATTTGGCAGCTAATTTGGCAGACCATGAACACATAGGGTCTATCATTGACCAATATTAAGATTTAACATTTATTGAGCACCTATAATGTGGCAAGCACCGTGCTGGGAACTACATGCATAAGCAAGAAGGAATCCTGCCCTTGAAGTGCTCACCATCCAGGGGGCAGTGCCAATGTATACTTGGTGTTATTTATGTAATTTCTGGTAATACTGACCTCTTTTTTGCAGGTGAGGAATCTGAGGATCACAGATATAAAGCAATAACTGGTTTCAGAACTGGAATCCAGACCTTACTGGTTCTAAATCTTTCTTTCTTTCTTTTTTTTTAATGTTTATTTTTGAGAGAGACAGAGAGACAGAATGTGAGCAGGGGAGGGGCAGAGAGAGAAGATACAGAAGCTGAAGCAGGCTCCAGGCTCTGAGCTGTCAGCACGGAGTCTGATGCGGGACTCGAACCCACAAACCACAAGATCATGACCTGAGTTGAAGTGAGACGCTTAACCAACTGAGCCACCCAGGTGCCCCTAAATCCCCTTTCTTAATATACCAATTTCTTTCTTACATCTTGATGAGGACAAATACGTACAATCATTACTGAAAAGAATAACAGCCCCTTAAAGCTAGACCATATCCAACATTTATTCTGTTTGATCTTTGTAACTCTTTGGAACAGGCCAGGTAGGTGTTACACGATTTTACAAATAAGGAAACCTTCACTGTGGTTTCAGTGACTTACCCAAGGTTACATGGCTGTTAAGTGGCAGAGCCAATGTCTTTCAAATCAATTTTCTGAAATTAACACAGTCCCTTGGACCAATCTTCAGAATTCAGCTGTGGCCAAGAATGAAAGTACATAGTATCAAACATTTCTTTCCTGGTGAAACGAAGTAATGATTTCTTTTGGCAGGGAAAAATTTCGCAATATTCTATGTCAAAAAGACATTCAGCGGAAGGGTCATGCAACCCAATCGTGTGTTGCAAATTTACATAGTTTATCTAGCAAGCAGACTTTACTACTTTGTACAAGTTAGAAAAAAAAATTGCTCTAGAAACTTCCCCCAATAATTGTGATATTTTATTTTAGCTCAGAATTTATCTAATTGATTCAAAATACTACTGGTTTTACTGATATCCCTTTCTAATGAATAAGTAACAATACCTTGTATATCGTTATTTTAATCTTAACCAAAAAAAGCATCTAAAAGATGATTCTGCAAGCACCGTGGGCAAGAAAAGATAGGACACAGGAGACTGACCTATATATCTTCTAACGCAGTTTCCTGCCCTGGTCTTACATTTCTTTGCTGTTTCCTATGCTAGCTAGGACGAATCTAACAAATCAAATAATGCCTATTCGTTTCACCTAGAATGCAGCTATCTTATCGATCACGGTTAAGTAAATAGTTCGTTGCCAGGGCAGAAAGCACGTCTTTGGTCCTCCCTTCGAGTTAATGTTAAATGGGCTGGTGAGGTAAAGGAATGAAGGGCCAGGCTTTCTCTTTTAATCAATAACGCAACCCAAACACTGAGTCAAAGCAGAGTACTGAAGAAAGTACAAGCTCAAGCAGGTGATAAATCCAGTGACTGCTTGATAAACGCGATGCAGGCTGAGAGTAAATTACGGCCCACCGCAGTAACTAAAAAGATCGCCCACGGGTTGGGATGATGGCCTCCGCCTAATTAATCATCCAAGCCTCCCACACAAACCATTCCCTCCGGACGCCCGTAGGTCTTAAAAAGTAGGAGCTTTTCCCACTCATCTCAGGGATCTCTGGGAGACCAGTTCATCCAAAAGGTTCCTAATAGGGTCAGAAGGCTAGGATTTTCTGGACTAGCTTTTCCTACACCAAGAATTGGCTACAGGGCTGGGGCGATCGCGGGTTGAGGAAAGTAATCAAGAGATGCGGTGACGACACCGCCGTGAGCTCTACCGCGGCTGGCCTAAGCGGTTTCACAACTGCAGCGGAGAAGGAAGCAACGCCTCGGCAGGCCCGCCTGCAGACCAGGCTGGTGACAGTATGCGGAGGGCGGCAGGTCCCCCCCCACCCCCCGCGGCAGGGCAAGCCAGGGGTCTCCGCAGGCCTCGCCGTGGGCTGCGCAGAGCACTGGAAAGGGACGCGGAACTTGGGGCAAGTGGCGAGCCCCGGGCGGTGTCGGCCCGCTGACTAGAAAGCGGGCGCCGGTACAGGCCTGAGGGGAGGACGCACATGGCCGGCGGCGGCGCTACCTGCGGGCGGAGGGGCGGCCCCGGGGCGCTGTACCTGCGGTCGGGCGGCGGCTGCTGCTTCCGCGAGCCTCCTTTGGCCGGCTACGAGCCCGGCCGTCCCCTCGCCCTCGTCCTCTCCCACCTCTCTCCCAGCTCTTTTCCCTCTTTTCCCCCGCTTTTCCCCTCCTCATCCGGAGCTCCAAAATGGCGGCGCTGGGGACGGATCACGTGAGCTGCGGGCAGGTCAGGTGACCCGAGTGGCGGGCGGCAGGGCGGGGCGATGCTTAGGCCCCGCCCATGGGCATCCCGGGGCACTCGGGCTGGGCGGGCGCGAAGGTACCCACCCCAGCGGCCCGGGGTATCCCGGTCTTGGGCGGGTACAGGGCTGGGTCGTCGACCTCCCAAGGCCTCTGCGTTACCCTCTCAGTGGTCGCCTGGGCCTAGAAGTCAGTGTCTCCCCACGTCGCCCAAATCTTCTGTGGACTGGCTTCTTCACCCCATCCCCTCCCTAACTGGCTTTTCACCTAGAGCACTGGCATTCTTTCAGCCTTATGCTCAGGAATGTGTTACTGAGCTTGTTGGGCCATGTTTTTTGTGGTGTTCTTGGCCAAAATGTAGAGGTGGTAGCTAGGTTTTTGGCTGGACTTCAGATGTGGCTGGTGAGGGTCATGGCTAGCCTTGGGTAATCTGTTTGAGAGAGAGAGAGAGAGAAGAACTCATCCTAGGGGTTGTAGCCTGACACAGTCTCAATCCTTTTGAGGACACCATGGTGTTGGTCATTTGGCTCTGTCTTTATGGGTTGGCATACACACCAAGGTTATAAGCAGCCTTGTTTTGGTTCTGTGGTGAACAGAGTAAAATACAGAGGGAGGGAAGCATTCCATCCAACTTCACAGAGAACACTGGACTGTTTGGTACATTGGGAACTATACAGCAGCGGGTTTGGGTCTGGACTCACTAGGTGGGCCAGGAGGAGTAGGAAGGGAGCAAGCCCAATGGATTGGACTTGTTCATTGAGATAGCCCTTGGGGACTTCCAGATACATTTAGAGGGTTTTGCAGCAGGCTGGGCTTTCGCTTATCAAGTGGGAGAACTATCTAGCAAAACTTAGTCACTGTTCAGACAGGTCGGTAATTCTCATTACTGTATCTCAGGATACAAATTCACCTCAATTGGGGGGTTGGGAAACCAGCCAGGTTAGCATTTGGCTATTCCACAGACTCCTTTGCTGGTTGGGCCAAAGAGCTAAGAAGAAGAAAAAATAAAGTGGTGTGCAATTTTTTCTTTCAATAAGAGAGACTGAATAGAAGACTACCATGGCAGGGTGGAAGGAAAAAAAATAAGGAAAACCAGAAATACATGAAAGGGGGAAAATGAGAACAAACAATGTGCAAATTTCTTTCCTTTCCTTGAGCTATACGTATAATCTTAGTTTATAACCGAAGAGAAAGTTTTCTTTAGCAATACCTGTGATGTTCATGGATCTGAAAGTGGACAGAAGTCAGAGAGTTATTTGATCAGGGAAGAGTGCAGACACAAAGTGGAGAAATTGTAATCTAGGGAAAGTAAGGAACTTCTAAAGAAGAGGAGGAAGATCAGTTGGTTTGTCTGAAGTTTCTGTGGTATTCTTTTCCAGTGTGCACCAGCTATTTCCCATGTCCCTCTTGCAGGAGAGTTTAGATAGAACTTCTTGGCTCAAGGGTGTGGCCAGTGACTGGTGCTGTCTAGTGAATCGTGTGTGACGGATGTGTCACTCCCATCCTAGAGCATTTAGTTGTGCATGTGCCTCCAGAGCACCATTTTCCAGCTGCCTTGATGACTGGCAATGTTCACAATGGTGGCCACCCTATCAGCGTACATTTTAGAGTAGTGATGATGAGCTGAGCCCCCAGGTGCCCCACAATGGATATGTAGGGTGAGAAGGTTTGGAGCTTCACTGAGGTTTGGAGCTGTTTGTTACTGCACATGATATAGCCAAACTGCTGACTGACACTCTTCCTCCATACACTGAAGTAGCAGGAAGAGGCAGAACCAATAGAAAGAAACCATTACAATCAGATGGTAATGTTAATGAAAGAATTAGAACCTGCATTCCTGAAGGCAGAGAAGGTATGAGACACAAAATCCAACAGGAAAACCTTGACAACTTCAAAGAGCCAGTGGAGCAAAACCTCAGTAGTTTCCTTGCCTGTGTGAGAACTCTCCAGGAAATTACAGCGAACATTTCTAAGTCAGAGGAATGCAAAGACATTCAGAGGTAGTTCCATTGAACTTGTGGTCATCCCACTGAACTCTTTTGAGCACCTTCCATTTGCCACAGAATGTTAGTTACCACGATTTAATGAACCAGTCCTAGTAAGATTTGGTGTTGCAGATAGGAAACTTGCTTACACAGTTCTCCCGCGCCTACTCATGGGAATCCGATTCTGTCTCCAGATGAGAAATGACCTGGATAACTGGATCCCTATCTCCACATATCTCATTATTCCACTTTGTGATTGTTAATTAGTGAACAAGGTTAAAGGTTTTGCTTCTAACAAGTATCATAGGAAGTGACCAGGGAGTCTGCTCATACGTGGTGTGTACTTGACAACTTACACTGGAGCACTGTGCAAACTTGGGGAGAGCTAAGGGTAGAGCAGTGAGTGAGTTGCCAAGGTGATCACTGGTTGTAAACTGAATGAGACACGGAACTAGTTGAAACTTGAGAAGACCAACTTGTTCCCAGCCCAGGATACTTAGAAAGGACACCTTGTCTTTGGTGTAATAAGATTAGATTAGATTCCTTTTGACAGGATTAATCGTGTAAGTCTTTGGCACAGCACAGAAAATTAGCCTGTATTTCTTTTAGTTGTAATTTTTATCATGACCTTTAAAAAAATATCCTTTGAATATACTGCCTCAAAAAAGGAAAGATTGTGGAGGGGTGTGAGGAGGCGGGGGCTAAGAGGAGAAAAAAACAGAGTGGTGGCGCGAACTAAGAAGATAAACACAAACATTTCCCCCGACTTTATGTTTAGCTCCAGTGGGACTGTGAGCAGGTGGGCTCCATCTTTCTGATGTGTTCATCCTGCCTGTAAAACAAGAAGTTCAATTTATCTTTTTTTTTTTTTCTTTGGAGCTTCAGATGCCTGGTATATGGAAGTACAGAGTTTAATTATAGGAGTCGTCCGGATTCAAAATGGGACTTCATCATTAAGAATAATGGCAATGCTTGATTTTATTAATGAATGAAAGGATTGCTTGATGTAAGTCAGAAGGAATGGAAGATTAAAAGACATGATATATTATTATATATACAGCTGTCAGTAATAAATTAACATTAGCTCTAGGTTTCTTACACTTTGCATCCTGAATATACACCTAGAAATACTTCATAATTATAGTTCAGATCTCAAGAATCATCATAAATTATCTATCTGTCATTCATTCTCTCCTAAAAGCCACAGACCTACATTATTTCCGAAGCACATTGACATCTAAAATCTCTGGTGGTACGAGGCACACATATTAATTTATTTCTTCCTGCAGACCTGAATAAGCCAGAAGGGCACCCAGTGACCGATGGTGGCTGGGAAGGATTGGAGGAAAAGTGGGGGGCATCTGTTGTGAATTAGGAGTGGCTCTAGCTAACATTGTTCATACTTCGCTTTCAGGTCAGCCGTTTGGGGGTCTGAGCCACTAACTGCTTTAGAAGAGGTCTGCTGGAGAGCTTCAGATGGTCCCAGCATCTAAAGAAGTCCTGACGTGTCCCAGAATGGTGGAATTCTGCAGACTTCCTCCCTTAGCCCCTGAGACTGTCTTAGACGCAGGACCTGGGAATAAGGACAAGAATCAACGGTGGTGACATCTAGTGGCTTACCTGGAACGTGCAGTCAAGCCACCAGAGCACTCTGGTAAGAATGTTGAGCTAACCCAGGTCCCACCCCTAGGCCCCAGAATCAGTCCATGAGTTTGGTTTCTGGCAGAGATTCCCCGAATTTGTGTTGATTTACGGTCGGGATCCAGGAAAGGCACCAGCAGGCTGGGAGTGGAGGTGGAGAGGGGCTGCTTTTGAGGATGTCGGGAGGCTCCTTCCAGTCTGGTCCGCATATGCACAGGCTGGGAAGGCGAGGCTCCCTGGAGCTGCAGCGGAGCAGGGAGCTCGCCTCCGCCAGACTGTCTCTCTGCCTCCACGCAGACTGGTTATTGGAACGCTCAAGCAATTTTCAGTCGTCTTTGTCAATAAAGTCAGTCTCTTTTCCACAAGGGGAATGAAAATGAGATTTGGAGGCCTCCAGAGGGCTGTCTCCTTTGGTCACTTTATCTGCCTGGGAGCCCCAGCTGAGGTGGGTGGCCGCTATTTGCTATGTCCAAAACCCTGTTGACAGGTAATAGGACCTGGTTCTGAGCAAGACGATGTGATTATAATAGGATACTGTTAAATTCCTCTCTGAGAAGCGGTTTCCTTAACGCGGTGACCTTTATTGATGAGAGGGGCAGAGCAAGAAAATGAAAAGAAGGAGAAGAAGATGAAGAAAGACACTAAGGGGAAAAGTAACTGCTAATCAAGCCAAGAGGGCCTGGTGAAGGGATAATACTGTGACCTAAAAATGTGTCATTTGTTATTTTGACAGCTTCTCTTGAGGTGATAGACTGGGAGAGGCCACCGGCATCATCAGTAGCTGACTGGGAGCTCTGCTTCTGGCCTCCTTAAGGCATCAGTAAATGGACACCCATAGACAGCAAGTAGTCTCCCTTCCAGGGTCTTCCAGTTCTGAGCTCCTCACACACTGGGGAAAACTGAGCATAAAAACCATTGTGTGGTTTTTGATCTTCTGGGATGTTTCTTTCATTGACAAAGCAACATGAGTGAGAAAGGGAAGGGAGAATGCATATGGCACCCAGAGATAGTCCACGCTGCAGTTCGCAGACCCTTTCTGGCCATGAAGCTCTGGCAAGCCGTAAGGTAGGGAGGGTCCAGTGGAAATCTGTTGTGGGTTAGAAGCGGCACGTCCAGAAACAGGCACGAGTGGGGCTTCAGGGCACGTGCGAGCTTCCTGATCAGGTGGCAAGACTCCTACGTCATCCATCTCTCTCGCACGGGCACCTCTCCCTCAGCTCACATGTCTGAGCCATACAAGGAGGGAGATCCCAAGGACTGGCTGAATGGGGTGTTGGGGGAAGCTTG